TATAGAAAGCTTTTATTTCTTAACACAAATAACAGTAGGAGGTTTATGTCTGGACTTTTATGCTAATGTACGTAGTTCAAAATGTATAGATTATTCAAAATTAGTTTTAATAATCAATAAATGTAATTCCTTCACTTTTTGCCACATTTGTCTTCATTGAATGATGTTTTCCAAAGTGAATTATTGGAATAGCCTTGTTGCGAAATAATTTCTCTCATGTGATAATATAGTTATGAACTTGTTACAAAGAACACGTTTTTAATTACTGTAAAACAGTACATCTCCCAATGTAAAACTGAAGGCCTGATTAAGTTTGCTTTACCAAATTTTCTTTGTTGTCACTGATTATAAAATGACTGTTTCCATGATGTGCATGCATTTTCAGTTTTAAGGAATATGTTTTGCTTAAAAAAAATGCCTTTTTTTCCCTGTCCTGAGCAGAGATTGATTTTTGGCAACTGGATGTGTCATGTTTTAAAAGAATCTATCTATAAAATTTCCTTAGGTGATCTGGAAAATACATATATTTATTTAGAATTATTCCTTTTGTTAGATGAAAGTGAAATATTACTGTGAATGCATTTTCTCTGTTCTGAATAACTGTCAAATGCTTAAAGTATTTTAGGCACTTGCATCTAAAAAAACCTAAAATTAAAAATAACTGAATTTCCACTAAGTGTTCCATCATGCTGCTAAATAGAAGGCAATTTTCTCATACAAAACCTGACCCTATTCATATTTTCAGTTGAATGGGAGAAATGTGAGTACTCTGAAAAGATCAGGTTGGATGTACAGATCTCTGCAAAAGAAGAATGAATACTTGTAATGTAGAAGACCTATGTCTAAATTCTTGCTCAGCCTAATTTGGAGCAGATCTTGTATCAAGCTTCCTCCAGCTCAGAAAACGTGCTGTGTTGTTGGGTATTCAGTCACTGAATCTTAAACTGTTGCTTAAATAATTGCATTTTTACAGGAGTAAGAACCAGGACCTTAACTCTCCCACCTGCTATGTACTGAACATAGCGAACTGTAATAAAAGCCATGCCTCTTTTTATTCAGTCTAAGTGGAATGAGCAAATAGGGTTGGAGGTTAAGTAGTCCTATTCCACTCCACCTTGTAATGGAGTTGAAATTCCCTTTCACTCCCAAACCAGAGTGAAATTCCCTTTTATCAGCTTGGATCTCGTTCAACCTCAAAATGTGAAGTTAGGTAAGGAAAGCTGAACAGTCAAATTGTGGAGCTATGCAATAGAAATCTGGGATGTGTTGAAGGTTCTCTCACATTGCCTGATAAAGTGGCAGTGCTGTCTTTGGAGCCCACCCTCCTTAGAGGAAGTCTGTGCACCCATTATTTTTAAAACTAATATGTAACAAACTCTGAGAAGTGAAATCAAAACTCACTTGTCATTCTTAGGAAAATTAATTTTTGTTTGGATTATACAGTGATTGTCACACGCTTATAATACTGCCAAGAACTCCACTGGATATCTAAGCAGGGTATAGCTTGTTTTGCAGATTTATCTCTGGGGTAACTCTTCTTTTGTTTTGCTTTTCTAATAACAGACTGTATTGAATGTCTGAATGGGAAGATGCATGTCTTTGTTCCTCCAGTGAACAGCTGAAATGTTTTTAAGCTAACCAGTGAACTGTTGTAACACAATTGCCTTTCATGAAAGCAGTTAGTTTTGCATTTGTTGATTGACTTCTGATGTCCATGGGAAAATGTATTAATAATAGTCTTTGCTGTTGGCTACTTGTGACATGATTTCTCATATTTTCGTTTTCAAGAGGAGGCTGCCTGTTTTAATAGATAACTTCATTTCTAACTCTGCTGTTATTTTAACTACTGCTAGCAGTTTGCTGCAGTGTCAGTCATAATCTTCCATTAATGGTAATTGCCAAGTGATGGAATAATGAAAGTGCTGGGACTACAAGTGTTGTTCAATACAACAAACATCTTCAACAGCCAGCTAGTGTATTCCAGCAAGGCTCATTTGGGTAAGTACCAAATCAGTACTGTCAGTTCAGAAGCTCCACATGGGGTATGTTTGAATACATGGAGAATAGGCAATTAATTAGCCTTCTAAACATGCAGTTTTTCAACGTAAGTTTTGATCCATGGGAGGACTTGGAAGATACATGTCTGACTTCAGCATCGAGCAGATTGTTACCTATGGAATCTAAATCTACACCAGTTTAGAATTGCTCCTATGCCTTTTTTTTTTTGTTTATGTCCTAGTCCAATATCTGTCCATATTGTATGCCCATGTATTGTCACACTGCATTGAGAAGTCTCATTTACATAAGTGTTTCTATGTTTAAGACTCTTGCTTATTCAGAATGTAGAACACTCTTTTCCTTGCTAGGAGGCTTCTTAGAGACAAAACTAAATAAGAGTTTGGAAAGTAGAGAACACTCCCTTCCAAGTACTGCAAGGCACCAATGACAATCTTAATCTTAAACATGTCTGCACTAGTGTAGGTGTACTCTATGTAATGTACTCCATACAGCATGAAGTAAATTAATCTTAGAGTTAGCGCAAAGTTGAATATAAGTGTTTCCTTAGGTTCTTAGACTGTCTGGTATGTTTTCCAGAGTGTACGGGTTTGTATAATCATTCATGTGGCCTCATCTATGTCTATATACTTCTGTAAGTTCTATGAGGTTCTGTAGTCAGAGAAAGGTATCTTTCTCTGCTGTGACTAAATAGTAAGCATAACTTTAGATTTTTTTTTTTTTCAATACTATGGTGTTGTTTGTATCTTCTGGTTGCATTATTATTGATGTCATTTTATTACTATCTAGGCTAGATGTAAATCAATTCAGATGTTGCCAAGATCTCCAAACCTACCACAACCTTGTTTGGTTTCCAGTTTTAGTATTTAGCACTCTGCGTTGGTGCAGGCCGAGTCAGTTACACAGTGTGAGAAAAAATTCTGTCTCTCACACTAAGCTACCAAGACTCCAGAAGTTGGTGGTACTATCTTTGATTCTCTTCCTCTTACTTATAGGACTCCTAATACCTGTTCAACAGACAGAGACTGTAGATGAACCCACTGCTGTCACACTCTTATGGAAAGAAGAGAAGGATCTGCTGGTGATGACTTCTTTTTGTCTGACAACTTAATAGTTGACTTATTTAATCAAGAATTAATGATTCAAATACATCTTTATCCCAGGAGAGATTGCAGAAATTTTGGGAGAGGAGTACATATTCTTTCAAGTGAAGCCTCACTGGTAGCATACTATGTGAAAAAATGGACATACTGTCCCACCTCAATTTTAAAAGAAAAGAGTTGAACCCTATTCAAAACATTGAAATCTCTGTCTCTGGATTTTGGATTCTGTTTACCCGTGTGGAAACTTCAGTGATTTACTGCGTATTTCTTTTTTTATGTTATTGTGAGCAAGCAAGTTGCATAACGTTTTGTTCAGATAGTGTTTCCAGGGAAAAATTAAGATTGTACGTGGAGGGAAATGACCTTCATCATGATTTTTTTTTTTTTCCTCCTTTGCATTACATACTGCCCTGGTCCAAGATTTATTTATTGCTTTTCACTAGAAAAGCAATGACAGGCCCAGAACTATTGCAGTTGAAATGTTTGGTTATTCCACAAGATGCCTGCCTTAGCACAGCTGCTACTGTGATGTATTTTCCAGTTGCCCCTTGTGGATAACCATGTAATACATCTTCATATTTTAAAAATACTTGTCCTCTTCAAAGTCAAAAGGGATGAATCAATAGAACTTGTCTGTTTTGAAAGTATTACATAGGAAATATAATTTTTTGTCTTAATAGTGTTGTCAATGAACATCTTGGAGATATTTTTGAGTTCTTTGACCAAGCCTTATAAATAACTGTAGTCAATGGGGCATAAGACTGTTGTCTGAGTTCTACAGTTTGACATATAAATGAGGTGATGCATTCATAGTGCCTAACTAACCATGCATACGCTCTTAGTTTAGGACGTTTAAATTATCTGACCAATTTAACCTGACCCAGGATGAAAGATGTTTACAAGCCAAATACTTCATGTATGGAAATGAAGAATAACTGGTTTAAGTGTACACAATATAGAAAAATAAAATAAAACTTGACATTTTGGTAATCGAAGAGATCAGGAAAAAACAAGTTAGACTGTGTGGTTGGACTTATTTAAATGTTTCCTCATGTGGAATCATAAGAAATTGTCTCTAATCTCTTCATACTGAAAGAGTATTCTGGGAACAGGTTTTAGTCTTGTGGTATAACTGTGAAGTTAAAGTCTGATGCTTTCATCTTGTTAGCCAGAGTAGTGCAGTGGCTGGAAATATGAAACAGTTTAGCCAGAGAACATCTCCTCTTTAGTGTCAGATTGATAGTTGATTACAGGTTTGAAGTTAGTAGAAGGGAAAAATAGAAAACACCGCTGAAAAATATTTATCCTACATTCATCTCCTCTTTAGTGTCAGATTGATAGTTGATTACAGGTTTGAAGTTAGTAGAAGGGAAAAATATTTACCCTACATTCCTCAGGTCATATTGCTTGAGCAGGAATAGATGAACTTCTGTTCCATTCTAAATAGTCACAGGTAAAGTGATTTGAAATGTTTGATGTGAATTTGAACTTGACTGGATTTGCATTTCTTTCAACGAAATTCTCCAAAAGCATAGCATTCACCAAAACAGGA